CACTGTGCCTTGTCCCTGAGGAATCTCTTCTGTGCATGATGGAGGACAGCACAGTACAGCAGTGACCCCATCCTCCCCGCCCCATGGAGGGGGCTAATTCATTTCCTAGCTCAGGTAATGGGAAAACGTGTGCAGCACTTGCAACATTGAGATACTGTGCAGCAAGTTATATCATACTCGCATAAAAAATATCAACACATTAATGGTACTTTGAGTAATGAAGGCCAGAATCCTGTTGGCATTTGAGTAAGACTTGTGTAACTTGCTGCAGCTAATTGGCATTAACTCATAAGATCCCAGGACATGTTTCTGTCATGAGACTGCTCATGTACCTGAACATACAATCGAAATGCGCCCCAATATTCAATTAGCTACAATTAGCTGTATTAACTTAAGCAAGCCTTCTGTGAATGCCAATGGGATATTGGCCAATAGTATACAAAACAATACAGTTGCATTCCCCCGGTGCTGCTTTTTTACGATGGGTTGGATCCAAGGTTCCCACTAAACTGGGCACATGCGCACGCATGGCTCCACTTCCCTCTGTGCAGCTGTCTTTCAAGCAAATATGCTCAGCTTTGTATCTGTGCAGTTCAATCCTATCCCTGTTCCAGTGGGTGCTGGAAAAAAGACTCCCTGACCTTAAATTTGCTTGCAGGCAAGCAGACACAGAGATGCAGACTTAGGATAACCTGAATAGTTAGTACTAAAGAGGCAATTTTCCCTGTTCCTACAAAACTTGCATATTTAAGAAAAACATTATCAGTATTTCCATTTACAAGTAAAATAGGATTGCCTAAAATATTTTGCATTGATGTTCACATTCTCAGACAATATTTGACCTCACCAGAAGAAAAGAATTATGGGAAATTACACTAAATATATCCCAAAGTGTAATAGAAGGGACGGGAATAAATTAATCAATAAGTCAATGTGAAAGAAAATCAAACAGAAGAGAACATCTGGACAAATATGCTACTTGCTTGTAAGAAAACAAAGTATTTCCCTCATGCCGAGGAACAGAAAGTTTATTTCATCACCAGTTTCAAATTAAGGCTTAAAGAAACCTTCATTTCATGAGGTTAAATATTAATCTTATGTCCACTGAACTTAACTTAAAATAATAATCCTCACAAAGAACTACTGCAATTTCAAGTAATTACAATGCTAAATGCAATTATATTTAACCAGATGAGGATCTCGCTATAGTTTAAATTCCCTATAGTGTCATTTCATGTTATATTTGAACAATTCCTCAATAAAAATGTCAAATACAGAATGAGTTGAGTTCCTCCAAGGACAGACTTGGAACATTTCCAATATAAATGTGTAGCCAAGGAATCTCAACCAACGGAGGAGGGGAGAAAAAAGCTCATGCGGCTAAAGGAGAAATAAAATATTTAACAAGAAAGATGGGGAGTACATAACCTATTAACTCTATGATTTCTAATCAAAAAGGGAAAAAAAATATTTCAGGTGTTTGTTTATGAGAAAATTTTAGTCCACAACGGCAACATTAGTGGAAAACAGGTCATGAGAGAAAGTAGTGATGGGTGAGATGGAGGGTCCTGGGCAACATACCCTCTAATTTTCAGTCCCACTGGGCAGGGCTCTGCCTCCCTCTCACACGAATTCACCCCTATGTGTGCACATGACCGGAACCAAAGGGGTTGAAAGTGATTGCTGTGCGGAGGAGGAAGAGAGTTGCACGGAGGGAGATGGAGTTGTGTGCCTGCCTGGCTTAGAGGGCACCTTGGTCCTGGGTGAACTAGTTCTTTTGTTGTCCTTTTCCCCAACATGAAAGTACTGCACTACCACCGTATCAATCCTCAAAAGGCAAACATGTTTGCCAAGTACTGCTTCATTTATTTCTGGCAAGTCCTTAACAAAATGACTTACGATTAAAACATTATTTAACATTTAAACCACTGATGAACCGTCTTCCACAAAATAAGTTACATTGGATGAAATGCTTGTAAGCTTGTGAGATGCCGCATACCTGCAGAACTATACAGTCTTTGTAGGACACTCAAAATGGTAGTTTATTGCAGCCAGGGTGGGTAAAAATTAATGACTTTTTAAAAAATCAATTTAATTTAAATCATGATTTAATTTTTTTAAAAAATCATGTTTTTTAAATTTAATCAAAAAAATATCCAATTTTAAAAATTTTAATCTGTCCTGATTGTAGCATCCTTAGTATCATGTTTTTTAAATTTAATCAAAAAAAATCCAATTTTAAAAATTTTAATCTGTCCTTATTGTAGTATCCTTAGATTGTAGTATCCTTAGATTGAGCTACAGCTTGGTAGAAAAGGCTAATGAAAGTGTATTCAGTACTGATATAGGACTAAACATTTCTCTCTATGCCATCTAAAAGCAAATCAGCAACAAAGCTTAAGGAGCAGCTTTCAGTGGTTGAAATCCTGTTGCTTAGCGTAGAGAGTCACAACAGAGTAGGCCCATTGAATCCCCAGTGGGGATTTGGTGCATCAACTCTTCATAAGTTCCATTGGTTCAAATGGAGTTACTTAAGTTGTGACTTACACAGCAACGTACTATGCTAAGCAATAGGATTTCAACCATTATTTGTTTGCTATAATTCTGTACTACATGGGAGGCCACGAATATGTGAGGAAGTCCTATGCCTGCATCCTAAGCTATGCTCTTAAGGTTTCCTTACATATAAACTTTTGCTCAAGTTTATCTAATGAACAAAGGACAAATGAGACAATGAAACCTCAATAATGTATCTTTCAAAAGCAAATGATACAGTTTTTAATGCAAAAGGGAACCTAAATCATCCTGTCTAAAATCAGGCCAGTGCTGGAGGCTTTGGCATCTCAAGATCTGAGAAAGGGTTCGTCTCACCTTAAAGGTTTGGAACCCACTGTTTGTATCATGAGCTGCCTCTGGCTGAAAGATCACACGAAAGCAACAGGGATAAGTGAAATGCATACTGAAATAAAAATGGGGAGAATGCATAGAGGCAGCACACATACATGCTCATTTATCCGTTCATAACTCCCATTCCTGCTTATTATCAAGCTAAATGTCAACTGCATCCACAAAGAAGATCAGAAGTGGAATTGCCACTGAAATTCAGAGCAAATTGTGATTTCCGTCCCTTACCAAACCTCTGAAGTACTTTGAGGGAGTTTCAATAAAACCAGCATAAAGTGGTGTGCTTGTCCATGTGAGAGGAAAAGCTGTGGGAACATCTCTAGTCACTCACTGAATTTTTTGCACTCATATTTCACTGATAATATGGATGTTCCTCTTGGGGAAACCCAAAGGATTCTCAACATGACCAGGTGGGTTTTGCCACCCACATGGCAAAATATAAACATATCTGAATGAACCCTATGTTGTTGTTTTTTAATTCCATTCGCTGGGTTGAATTTCACACCCTTGTTCCCTCATCCTTCCAGACCTCAATGTCAGACAGTGGTCCAAAAGGGGCTGCTATGGTGTAGACTGCCAGAGTTTCATCCCACAGTAGCATATATTAAGGATATGGAGGACCTGCTGTTGGCAGCAAGGTTAGGGAAGCCTGCTTGTGCTTGCTTACTTGGACATGCCTATATTTGGACCTAACCCGTTAATCTTAAGCATGCTTTTAGACCATGTTCAAAAGCATTTCAATATACACAGTTTTAAAATATAGTATATTAATTTCAGCTGGCAGTTGATATATCCACTTACTCACTATGAGATAGGTTTTAGTAATTATAATCATGTGCTACAAGTCAATTCTTATTTTATTTTTATTTATTTTATTAGATTTATACATCGCCCATCTAGACGAATGGTCTACTCTGGGCGGCATTACAAAATTTAAAAACAATAGGATTCTGACTTATGGCAACCCTTTTCAGGGTTTTCCAGGCAGAAGATACTCAGAAGTGGTTTCTATACCCTTCTTCTGGGGGTCACCTGGGACTGTGCAGCTTGCCCAAGGCCACACAGGCTGAGTCTACTCGCGGGAGGCACAGTGGGGAACTCAACTCCCAATCACTGGCTCAGCAGGCAGATACCTAAACCACTGAGCTATCCAGCCAGCTTAAGTTTTAGTGGATACTAAATCTATTCATCTACTATCAGCACTGAAGTGTAGGTGAATTGTAAGGGCTGAGCTCCAAAATCAGGAAATTTCAAAACCTCTTGACACCGAGAAGTTAACACTTGATATTGCTGAAGGTTGCTGAATGATCAATCTTACGTCTCCTAATTCTGATTTTGCGTGTTTCAGAAAAAACATGTCACACAGGATATTTAAAAGAACAATGCCAGTTTTTCTACTTGTTTCTATGAGGAACCAAGTTTAAAATCTCACATCAAAACCAGCCAATGGATGGTTTCTACTCTACATCTAAACAATTATTCTGCAATGAGCATCAGTGCAACAGACAATGCAAAGTTGAAAGAAATTCTTTCTTAATCTCCAGTCACACTGAGTGCAGACTGGCATCAGTGGGAAATTCCTATGGGGTCAGTTCAGATACCCCACTGCTTTAAAAAAGAATATTTTAAAGCAGAATGGTAAAAAAATCAGTGAAACGGGCCTATCCTGCACAAACGGAAGTGCCTTTCCTTTGCATAGTTGTATTTTTGGATCCCAGCCAGTATGTGTTGTTATCATTCTTTTTTTTTAAAAGATATTTCTGACAGGTGAATTTGCTGTAACAGAAATTCTCAAGCATTAACCATAACACAAGACTAATATTGGGTCACAAAGAGTTGAACACGACTTAATGACTAAGCAACAAAAACGTAGTTAGCTTGTTTAAAAGGCTGTAGCGCTTTATCCAAAGAAATACTATTTGATATTGCTCCCAAATCATGTTGCCTCTCCACCTCCATGATGCGTTGATTAAGAGCTTGGTTTGCAGCATCATATCCCAAAAATATTATATTGCCCTCCAAAAATCCATAAGATCTAAGATTGGCTTGTAGAACTTCCTTCCAATCAATAAATTTGCTCCGTCATAATAACTCACCAAGGCAGTTGTGTCCATCGTGAGCCAACATGAATCCATCATAGCACGTACACCTATAATTGCCTGGAATATTGATGCATTCATGTACGCAGCCTCCATTGTAGAAGTCATTTTCACACTCATCAATATCTAAGAAAAAGAAAGAAGGGGAAAAATCCTCTAATATTATTTTTACTAGCAAAAAGCAATGCCAGCCAAGAACTTTGTACACATTACACACTATTCTACATGGAATATTTTGCTGTTTGGGGCAACATTTCAATTTTTCAAAAGTGCATCAAATTCACTGTCATAATGCAAATCTAACCAGAAATCATATCTACATTTGGCTACATGAGAAACAGATATCAATACAAAGTGTATTCCTGAAGTGGCCTGGCGTTTATGGCACCAGAACAATTCTTACATAACTTTCAGATCTGACAAATCACAGTGATAGTAGCAAGATTCCTGTCAAATCTACTCAGAGTGGACTTGCAAAGGTGCAAAACCTGTAAGTGTGAGGCATAAACACCACGAAGAACCAGAGAACAATAGTTTGAGTGCTTCTCACTGATTGTAACTCAGGATCCATTCAGCAGTAGACAAATCCTTTCCATAAAACTCCTTCCATCATTAGATAATTTGCCAGACCACTTTAAATAAAATGCCTTAGGTTTTAAATGGTAAGCTCCTTATGATAGGGACATGTCTTTCATATCCTGTGAACAGAATCTATGCCTATACCTTTTTCATCTATTGTGATCTAAACAGTAATTTTACTTAGCTGTGTGTGTCTAGAAACCCCCCTTCACTGATTGCTGCCTTGTCGTGGCGAAGGGGCTTGAGTAATTCAGGGAAGCTATGGGCTATGCTGTGCAGGGACACCCAAGACGGACAGGTCACAGTGGAGAGTTCTGATTAAACGCAATCCACCTGGAGCAGGAACTGGCAAGCCACTCCAGTATCTTTGCCAAGAAAACTCCATGGACAGAAACAAAAGGCTAAAAATATGATGCTGGAAGATGGGCCCCTCAGGTCGGAAGGCATCTAACATGCTACTGAGGAAGAGTGGAGGACAAAATACAAGTAGCTCCAGAGATAATGAAGTGGTTGGGACAAAGCCGAAAGGACGCTCAGCTGTGGACGTGCCTGGAAGTGAAAGGAAAGTCTGATGCAGCAAAGAAGAATACTGCATAGGAACCTGGAATGTAAGATCTATGAACCTTGGTAAGCTGGATGTGGTCAAACAGGAGATGGCAAGAATAATCATTGACATCCTGGGCGTCAGTGAACTAAAATGGACAAGAATAGGCAAATTCAATTCAGACGATTATCATATCTACTACTGTGGGTAAGAATGCCAAATCTCAAAAATGATAGAATGATTTCAATATGAATCCAAGGCAGACCTTTCAACATTACAGTAATCCAAGTTTATGCACCAACCACCAATGCTGAAGAGGCTGAAATTGACCAATTCTATGAAGACTTACAACACCTTCTAGAACTGACACCAAAGAAAGATGTTATTTCATTATAAGGGACTTGAATGCTAAAGTAGGGAGTCAAGAGATAAAAGGAACAACAGGCCTGGCATGCTCTGGTCCATGGGGTCATGAAGGGTCGAACACGACTTAACGACTATGCAACAACAAAATCTAGAAACCAGCCCTAAATTGCCATGTTTGTACCTTCCTTCCTTTCAGTAAAGACCAAATATTTGTGTCGAATGACCAATTATTGTTCTGTTATTATTCTTACACGTTTTTTTCTTCTTTGCAAGAAAAACCTCTGTGTTTCGTTCAACCATTTGAGCAAAAGACTTTAACCTTTTCTATCAGGATTTTAGTGCTAAGAGGATGCTACTTTCCTCAGGTCCATACTTCTTATGTGAATGTAAGGAATATCAAAGTATATATGCAAATATATATGTACGCATAAACATTAATGTGTAGTAAATAAGCAGTAAATGTGACCGATAGAAACTGAAGAATAATTTATTATCATGCATATTTAAGATATTAATAAACCCTCTAGTGCAGATATATTTAGTTATTACATGTAAAAGGAAAACAGTACACTTCTTCCTTGAGTTGAATAGGTCCCAGAAGCACAGTTTTGGTTATACATGTTTTTTTTTCCCAATAAATAAATATCTATCCCAATAAATATCCCAGTCAAGAGCAGATCCACTGAATTAACTGCCACTGATTAGAGGCAATTTCAGGGTTCATGCAACTAGTACACAAAGCGACAAAATCCCCTGCAAAAATTATCTAAGGAAGCCACTACCCAGCACTGATTTGCTGCTGATGCTGACATCATCACCACTGCACACATGGAGCTGGGTAATTTCAATCAGTGCATTATTGCTATCTGAACTAAGCACTGAGGGACTGTCCTTACATGGTAGAGATAATTTTTCAGTAACAATAAAAAAGAAGGCCCAAATCCAATAGTGTACAGTGGTGCCTCGCTTAGCGATCGCTCTGTTGAGCGATGAATTCGCATAGCGAGGGGGTCCGGGCCATCGCTGGAGCATTCGCTCAGCGATGGCCCCATGGCGTTTCTTCGCTGTGCGACGATCGCTAAGTGATTCGCTTAGCGATTTTCGCACAACGAAGCGGGGGAGAACAGCTGATCGGCGGTTCCAAAATGGCCGCTGCAACTTTTCCCGCCGCGCCCTAGAAGTAACGCCATGGGGCCATCGCTGAGCGAATGCTCCAGCGATGGCCCGGACCCCCTCGCTATGCGAATTCATCGCTCAACGGAGCGATCGCTTACCGAGGGCGCGAAAATGGCTGCCCCTATGTAGAAGCTTTGCTCAACGGTAAGTTTAGGGCCCACTGGAACGCATTAAACCAAGTTTAATGCGTTTTAATGGATTTTTTTGTTCCGTTGAGCGATGTTTCCCATAGCGAGGGTTAATCCGGAACAGATTAACCTCGCTATGCGAGGCACCACTGTACTTCTGCTGAATCTCCCTATTTCTCAACTCTCATCCAATCCAACCACTATAAAATCCTTCTTTGGAGGACTGAGAAACCCTTTGAACCAGGATTTTTGGAGCCATGGAGGACTGCAGCAGTAGGAAGAGAGAAAGGAAATATCCACTGGTAATGTTACCAAATTGTACACTGGCATCACAACACCACATAGATATTATGGTAAGGGTTTCAAGCAGATGTAGCAGCAAAGAATATCCACAGTCCATATTGCATTAGTGAAAGAGAAAATCTGTATTCAGCATGTAAAGTAACTACTTTGTAAAAATTACTATTTGCAGAGTTTCAGAAATTGTTTCAGCCACAGAAATGGAGATGCATGAAGAAACGTGTTCACTTATTTATTACTTGTCTATCCCCCCAGTACTCCTATGAGCAACAAGACTCTCCTCCCCATTTCATCTCTGTCATGCAGGTCAGATTGAGAATGTGGAACTGTTTGAAGGTGACACTATCAGCTGCACAGACGAGTAGAATTTGGACACTAGTCCAATACTCTATCCACTATATATTACCCAAGACAGGATGTGTGGGGTAAAAGACACCCAAATGCATCTGTTATAACATGCCACCATTTTGCTTATTCAACATGTGCAAAGACACAGCCTGAGAAAGTTTACAATCATTTGATTTTGTTTGTTGGTTTTAATTTTTACCTGTAATGGAATCTCTAAGGGCAACAGTCAGAGCAACCCACAAGAATAACAACAAGCAATAATGTTAAACTACAGTCTAGACTCCTCTACCCAAAGCATTGTCTCTGAGCTTGCCTGACGACAGACCTTCAAGCCCAAGCCTTATTTGGCTAGAATGTATGTTTTTCTTTCATTCTATGCCCTTTTACAATTAGATCTGGAACTAATTTAGGAAGCATAAATTGCAATTGACTTTCAATAATTTATGCTCTTGAACCTCTGTAGAAATGCAGCCATCAAGAAGCTGTCTGCCTGCATAAATCTTAAACATCTTTTCATCTAAATCGGCTATCCAATTGCAAAATATAGCACTTGGGGAAATCATATACTGCAGAGTCTAGGTACTAAAATGGCTTGAAATGTAATGTTTTCATTGCTGATATGTCAGTATTTGGCTACATGGAAGTATTTATTCAGACATCTGAAGGGAATAGATACGCCCCAACAATGTTGAAAGAACAGAACTTGAAATATACGATGTGTCAGTAAAGAAGTACTGGAGAGGAAATAAAACCAGCTTTGCTTGAAGACATGGAAATGTAATGAACAAGCTATATTAATGCATATACAACAATCCATAACCTACATTTTTAATACTCATCTCAGAACACATCTGGATGGCTTTTCTGTGTAAGAGTTAATTAGGATAGTCATTCTATTCAAGTAGTTGCAGTCAATTAATTCTACCCATTTTGACTGGTTAATTGATTCAGTATTACATATAAATACAAATATTAACTCAAAGGAAAAAAAGAACTCTTGCTTCATCTTAAAGGTGATGCATCCATGAGTCAGAATAACTACAGTTTTAGAGCAGACATTTTGTTCTGTGCAATACAGAAAGGGGAATGCCTCCTAAAAGATCATGTCTCTATATTTTTGGAAATACCTGAATTAGAAATAATCAAAACTGTGGGTCAGTCAGCTAGGCCTTATTTATTGTATTAACATAGTTTAACCAACTACTATATATATTTGAGTATAAGCCTAATTTTTCAGCACAATTGTTTTGCTAAAAAAGGACTCCCCTCGGCTTATACTTGAGTCAGTGTCAAAATTACATGTTCTCCCCTGCAGTGCGGGTGTTCTCCAGGCTCCCCCGCTCATCTACGGGCACCTGCAGCCTCTGTGGGTCTGATGATCCAGGTTAAGTACACTGCATTTCCATTTCCAGGACACTCCCATCCTCCTCCTTCTGCATATTCTATGTACCCAACTTCCTCCTCCCACCTTCCCCCTCCATCCTCCATCTCCCTCCATCTTGTTACGCAGCTGTAGAGCAGTATATAAGTGCAGCATCTGGTACGAGTTCTCCCTCCGTAGGCAGTGAAGTGTGTCTCGCAGCTCAGAAGGGCAGTATCTTCCAAAACATTCACCCTACTGATGCCTCAATTAATGTAATTTTATTGCTATCTATTTTTATTTTTGAAATTTACCAGTAGCTGCT